CCAGGACCTCACCCATGCTAAGCATGCGCTCTACCACTGAGCCAAACCCACCCCCCTCAAATAGTTAAATTTAAATAACAAAGTATCTTAGGATTTATTTTCTTATAGACACATAATAAGTAAGACAGTTTATATGATAACTGGGAAAGTGATACCAAACTATGTTTCCTTTCTATGTAATGTAAAAGTTTAAAAATGAAATGACTTTTTTATTCATAAAAATAAGTTCTTAAAAAGTCCTTAAATGTATGATTTTTCATATTAAATATTATCCTCCAGGTAAATTCAGAGAAAAAAATGTAACTGTTCAATGAATTTAACACCAGATGATCTTTCTTAACTAGTTTTTATTAAATCAAATATCCATGTTTAAATTTTATAAGAATTGTGTATAATTGGTCTTCTAAATTTTAGTGCCCCCACACCAAGTAGAAAGTAGAGAAAAAAATTCTTGGTCTTCAATATGGCCCTTAATATATTAATTTAATGAGAAAATAGATGTTATCCTAAATGGCCCAGCCTGAAAGACAATTAGTCTTGCACAATTTTCTCCTGACTAAAAATTATACATACACACATATGATCCCTGACTTAATTTTTGACTTCATTATATGCAAAAGTGATACTGAATTTAGTAGAAACCATATGACTAATTTTGAATTTTGATCTTTTCCCAGGCTAACAATATGCTGTATGATATTCACTCTGTCCTGTGATGCAGTGTGCCACACCATCACAAGGGTAAACAATCAATACACTTAAAACCATTCTGTACCCATATAACCATTTTGTTTTTCACTTTTGGTACAGTATTCAACACATTACATGAAATATTCAACACTTTATTATAAAATAGGCTTTGTGGTAGATGACTTTGCCCAACTGTAGGTTAATGTAAGTGTTCTGAACACAGTTAAGGGGCTGATCATATAAATCTGATCAGAGATTGAGCTGTGTCAAGTCTGGATGGCAGATTTAGTAATCTCTGTCTGGTCTGTCCACTTTCAATTTTTCCCTGTTTATTGATAGGTTTTGGCAGGTCTCTATCTCCTCAACCATGAAATAATGTGGGAGATTCAGTTACACTCTTTGGAAGACCTCAGCTTAAACCTTTATCCTGCTACCACCTGTAGATTCAATTGGGGGTGGGGGGTAGGCTGTGTGTTTGAAGCAAGTCCCTTCCTTCTAGCATGAC